CCCGGTATTGAGTCGCGCGTCAGGTGTTTCCTTTGTTGTGGGAGTTGACTGTGAGGTGTAGTCTAAGCCCATTTAATTGCCTTCCTTTGATGTATTACTTACATAGTTCCCTTGACAATGTGAAGTAGTCACGAAAGCGCTTGGAATTTCGCTCACTTTCACAGTGGTTGTTTTGCACATTTTAAAATCATCCTGTTAACTGTGATCTTAATTCATACAATATCTAAATATATATATATATATATAAATATAAATTATATATATATATATATATATATATTATAATATATGATATATTATATATATATATATATATTTATATATAATATATCTTGATAATGTGAAAAAGTCACGAAGCACTTGCAATTTCACTATTTTTTCACAATGGTTGTTCTGTATATTGTGATATCACTTGTTTACTGTGATCTTATTGCATACATGTATGTATGTATGTATATAATGTGTGTATGTATGCATTCATGTGTAGTTATGTCGCTTGAAAACCAAAAGGTCTCCAACAATAAAAAATAAAAATAACACTATTCCAAACCAGAACGCTGTTAGACAGGCAAGAAAACACTACGGAGATTCTGCTTATACTGTCTGTATCGTCAGTAACGGCCAATTTTGGAGCCTCGGTATTGTTATTATCAGTGATAACCCGTGGTGTAGATCCTAACTGCTACTGCTTATGTGGTCAGAGCTGTAATGGTGGAAGGAAAGAGGTGCATGGTGCAGCAGCAGCGGGCACGCGAGCAGTGACAGCATAGGAGAGGAGAGAAGAGAGAGAGAGAGATAGAGAGAGAGAGTAGAGAGAGAGCGAGAAGAAGAGAGTGAGAGAGAGAGAGAGAGAGAGAGAGAGAGAGAGAGAGAGAGAGAAGAGAGTGAGTTCTTGTTTGCCAAGGGAGTGGGATGAAAACACACAGATATTCAGATCTTTGAAGAGTCATCATTGGTATTTCATTTTGATGGCGAACCATTAGAAATAAGACAATAAAGAATTGGTTTTGATTGACTGCAGTGGGGTAATTGGCCCATGTTTAGATATCCAACATACAATCAACCCTTCCTATGTTATGTAGCAATCCAACATTACAAATAATATTTTTGAAACAAATTCTCGTATATGAAAATTAATACATATTGCAAGATCTGGGTATCATTAATGTAAACGTTTTCGTAAAACAGGGCTTTATCAATACTACTTCAAGGACATATTTTGGAAGACATCAGGACTTATATTCAAAAAGTATGAAGTAAATCAGACCCTCTCATGGCCTTGTAGTTGGTGTAGAAGAGCACCGATAGTCGTGAAGAATCTGTAGCAGCAGGCAAGAATGCTGGGCGCCTCTGGATGACGAAGACTATATTATGTATGTTATAAAGTAAATATTAAATATATATATATTATATATATATATAAGATCGTGCCGAATAGGCAGAACTATGCCATCAAGCTTAAATAGCAACGTTTAATCTTGCCATCAATAGGGCAAGTGAAAATATGTGTATTCGATACTTCGCCAAAATCATTCTGAACCTAACGCAAAAACAATAATACTTGTCACTGAGTTGTTTAGGATTAAAATATGTAAACAAATCTAAAATAATTAGGTTGGGTTAGCCAACGTAAATGTAAATAGTTCTGTTTATAAATACAGGTTAGGTAAGTTTTCTCTGTTCCTTTTGTGCAAAACTATAAATTTCTACATCAACATTAAGGAAAAAAATATATCTTTAAACGATAAGAAGACAACATATTAGAAAGGACTTAATTTTTAAATGAGTTCTTGCTAATTGACGGAGTTTTACATATTCGGCACAGACATATATAAATATTTATATATAAATATATATATAATATAGATATATATATATAATACTATATATAAGTATATATATATATTAATAATATAAACTATATATATAATAAAATATATTCACCAATTTGAGTTGCAAAAGTCGATTCATAGCTCCTGCCCCGCTATTCACTGTCCCTACTAGTCACTCTTCCTGATCGGATGAGCTTATCCTACCTCCTCCTTAAAAGCTATAATAAGGATTTCTGCCCTCACACTACATCACTTCCCAGGTTATTTCACCTTCCTGACAACTCTTTGACTAAAGAAATACTTCCTAACATTCCTGTGATTCATCTGAATCTTCAACTTCAACTGTTGCTGTTCCCAGCTATTGCTGTCCCCATCCTCTGGAATATCCTGTCTGTGTCCACCTTGTCAATTCCTTTCAGTATTTTATATGTCGTTGTCATATCCCCCTTGCTTAAAATACATTGATAATCAAATATATAATAATTTTTTTTTACCAAATTATTAATCACTGCAGTGCAAAAGAAAAAAAATTGGTTTAGTCATGTTAATGTGTTCTTACTCTTCATAAATATCTCGGGTCTTTGGGAGAAAAAGTCGCTCGGAAGATATGAAAATAACGATGAAATTTTTACAGGAATAAAAAGTATTTTCCTATCCAAAATATCTTCTAACTAGCTTCTCGTAGCAGATTATCTGGTATTTCTTTCGTAAATTATATTCTTACTACCCAACCCGGGAGCAACATTGTCGTTTAAATTGTTTTATCAAAAGGGTATATAGACTGGTGGTAAGGTTTCTCCCATCTAACCAACCGAGTGCCCTCATCGAGAGCCGCTTCAAAAAAAAAGTGATGAATGGTAAAACAGAAAAAAAAATATATTTTAAATATCATTGTTTATTATTATGTTAAAAGTTCATTTTTGACCTGAGGGAGATAACAATTTTAAATTAGTCAGCTCAGGGGCGAAATGGAAATAATTTACAGTACATCTTCAAGATTTACTAATAGTATTTTTAATTATTTTTAATGCAATGGAAAGTTTAAGTTTTAGTTAACACTGATAAACCTAAGATACATTGATCTTGGGTTTTATATCTACACCTGATATTATACATCAAAATTATACAAAAGGCCAAGAATAATAAATAAGAAGCATGTTCAACATCTAGGTGTCTTTATTGAAGAGACTTAACCTACGATGAATGCTTTATTGCGTTTATTTTACCTGACAAGGGAGTAAAAACACTTGTAGCAGAGGATCCCTTTTTAAAACAACGTTTCAGCCAAGATTAGGCTTTATCAAGTACAGCTCAGGCTTTTTCAGGTACAGGTTAGGCTTTATCTAGTACAGGTTAGGCTTCATCAAGCACAGGTTAAGCTTCATCAAGTACAGATTAGGCTTTATCAAGCACAGGTTAGGCTTTATCAAGTACAGATTAGGCTTTATCAAGCACAGGTTAGGCTTTATCAAGTACAGATTAGGCTTTATCAAGCACAGTTTAGGCTTTATCAAGTACAGATTAGGCTTTATCAAGTACAGGTTAGGCTTTATCAAGTACAGGTTAGACTTTATAAGGTTCATTATAAGGCAAACGAGCATCATCAGATCAGGCTCTGAGAAAGACATATATTAAGTTACTGTAAGAGCAATTTACACACAAAGACACACGTAAAAAATAAAGATCAAGTGAAACAAGATACGATAACAATACAATAACTCTAGGTCCTTCGTGTTGCAACTAACATATCATAAGAAGCTTGCAATGTTGCAGAAATGAGTAGGAGGTCCCGACAAATTCGTTTCGGAGGACGTATCTTGTCCTAATAATGGAGGACGTTCCTCCGAACGGAATCTGCTTGAACCTCCTACTCATGCTCCGGCAAACATTGCAAGCTCCATGATGATGTGCTGATGGGCATCGCAAACAGGCCTAGAGTTATCATTTAACTCCCCTGGTTGTTTTGCATAAGAACACATATTGCGAGATCAAGTGTGATGAGGTCCGCTACGGGTGGGAGCCGGGGATGGGGTTTAAGGTGACGTTTAATATATGAATCGTGAACAATGTGGACAACAGGTGCTTGAAGATTTTCGTGAGGTGGATCACTGTTGCTTCTAATATTCTACGTGTGGCCCTGTTATTCTCTGGGGTGTAACAATCTATGCGATGAACTACGCATTGATTGTTGGCTTTATCTCTCCTGCAGGTATATTTATGTTCCTGAAGGCGTATCTGCACGTCTCTGTCGATCTTCCTAACAGCTGATCACAACTACCACACGGTACTCTGGAAACTTCTGCTGTACAAATAGTTTCTGGCTGAAGAATTCTGGTGATACCTTTGATAATTTTGGTAGCAAGTGAGCACTATTACAATTACGCATTCTTTTCTGAGAATAGGAGTGATGGTAATGGCATGCTGCCCAGCAGTGATTTTGGAATCTTCTTTAGGTGTCTCGTGAATGAGGAAATCATTCTGTTTGCAAGAGTGGATAAGTACGTTGGGAAGTTTAAGTTGGTGAACATCTCCTCAGTATATATTATTTTTCAATGCAAATTCGTTGCCCTCGTAGAAAGAAACCTATGATGATTTTCCTCTTAGTTTCGAGATCATGATGGGAAAAGCAGTGTTAAATCATTCTTATTAGTGGGTTTTCTGTATACCTTGCGTTTAAGAGTATCTCCATCCTCGATTATTAAGACATCAAGAAATGGTAACGATCCGTCTTTCTCTTCTTGTAGTGTTAACTGTATGGAGGGATCACCATGATGATATATTATTATTGTTATTATTAATAATCAAAGGAACGCTAAACCCGCAGATTATAGAAGCGCGTTTGTGGGGGATGTGGAAGGAATTCAGGTTTCAGGAAACGGAGAACAGAGTCCACATTCTTATATCAAGCAAGCAAGAGCCCCTCACCAGCGCAAGGAACCTCCCTTGAGGGTAAGCATGTTGAGTCTCTCATCTGAATTAGGTTGAAATGCCTTGTAGCAATCACGAACATATATTCCACATATCTAAGTATTGTTGAGGGATAGTGTCTTTAAAATGGTCATACTCTAAAGTAGTCTAAAAATAAATGTTTGCTTATAAAGTTGCAATGTGGGGTGACCCCACACAGCCATTACAGCTTATTTTTTTTTTGACAATTGAAGTGAAGAAGTTGACATTAACACAGACTTCAAAAGGGCAATGAAATCCTCTACAGGATGGGGCAAGTTGAGGTCTGTAGGGCCAGAGCTACAAAGAAAGGCAATTACTTGATCAATAGGAATTAGAGTGAAGACGAGGGTCACCTCCAAGCTACCGAGTTTCTTGTTTTTGATTGCCGCCTAGATGAGCCTGGAGAGGTATAATCTCGCAGATGTGAGCTGCTGACTGTAACCAGCATTTTAGATTGGTGTTTCAATAAAACATCCGCCAGCCCCTGAAGTTATGCCGATCTCTGAAGTGATGCAGTGTAATGGAATGTTGAGTTTGTGTTTTGAGAAGACTGTAGACGTATGCAGGTCTGTCTTAAGTAGGAAGGGACAGAGTTTACTTCCCTGTGTGGAAGGCCTGAGAATTTTTCTTGTTTCTCTGAGGAAGGTTGTAGATTCTTTGTCTAGTGTTTGAGGAATGATGTTTAGATAGGTGTCTTGGTTGATAAACAGTGACAATCACCAGAATGACTACTCCTTTCCCTTTGTCAATGGTAGTAATCCTAATGTTTGGATTTTTTAGAAATTCTCTCGAGAGCTTCAGCATACGCTTGGAAGAGAAAGTTTGGGACTCTCATATAGGGCTACAGTGAGGATACCTTGCATTTATCGTTTCATGAAATCAGAAGCATTGTGCTTATGACTATGGAGTAAATTCAATATATTCGTCTAGTTTTCGGACTTCTGTGGAAAATGTAAGTCCAAGGCTGAGGACCTAGGTTTCGATGTTAGATAGTTGGTGTTGAGATTGGATGGTTATAATGGAAGATCTACCTGCGTTCATCCTGGGACTTGCGTCACAAAGCATACAAAATATACGGCCATGTCTGGTTTACTTTTCCTCGTTACTATGCGCTACTCGCCTTCTGATATCCTGGTCAACATTTCGGAATATGGTGCCACGTAGTGACTTACCAAGTAGTTTGGCAGTACAGAACAATACTCTTTTTTTTCTGCATGTTGGTTGGACCAATTACCCACACTGTCCACAATTCATATAATAAACAAAATAAACTCGTCACCTCACCCCAGCCTCCAGCTCCCACCAATATCTGACTTGCTGTCGAAAGGACCTTATGTGTGACATGTCTTTTTCAAAGCCTGATATATTTGCTCATTCCTGTGTACTTGATAAAGCCAAGTCTGAGGCGAAACTTTATATTAAAAGGAACTTCTGCCACAAGTGTTTGTTCTCACTTACCGACTTTTGTCATAGATTACCTACCTGCTGTGCAGGAGACACTTCACGCTGATAAAGCTACCCAGATGTCGCGCGTATATCTAAAGTACTACCTTCCTCGGTAGTATCATTGACTTAAGTGAAATATGAGCTTTGGTAGTAGGAACTGGACATGAACTGTTATAGTAAGGACTGCATATCAGTTGTTGTACTAGGGATTAAATATCACTCATGGGTTTTAGGATTGGACGATTACCATCTTGAAATGAATAAATTCTTCTCTGAGAGAAACGTTGGCCCAGTGGAGAATTGGTCTGTTATTTGTTATCCACTAAAAAAGTGTAAGAAAATGTCTGTTATAGTAAGGATATCATCTTATATAATTTAAACCTGTGGAAGTTTATACCACCAGCGGGGGTCAATTTAATTAAGTACTGACTTTGTCAACAAAACTATTATACACCTTTCCTCACTGTCATCGTCAAAATTAAACATCTAGAAATTCGAGGCAAGTCTCTTTCAAATTAATAAATAATTTATTTATTTCATCTACCACAAATTTTTGCAATACTTTTTTGTTAAACAGCCGAAGATCGCCAACTGTAACATTCACATTAAGACAGCTATTTTGCTTAGAACTGATATAATGCTTCTTGCTAATCTTGCTTTTTGACCTTTTTTGTGTGTCATTATATCCTGTTGATCACTACCAGGAGGATAGACATGCTGTGCGCATTTCGATTTTTAAAATAAATACTTAAATTTATTCTATAATGATCGATGTTGCATATTTGCAAGCATTGAATAAATTACCTCTGTCGTTGGTTTTAATGTATCTCTTACTATGTGATTGATTTCATATTTTGTAAATAACTAATTACTAGGGTAGCTTGCTAAACTATCGGAACAATAGGCTCTGTACCTGGACCAATTACCGAATAAATAAGCTTCTATTGTAGCATAATAAAGCTATCGTATCAGATCAACTTTGTGGGTCAGCTAAGAGGTATTGAGTTACCTGATGTCAGTAACAATAAAATATAGATTAAGAATTGCATAACAATTGCTAACGTTAGACGCAAAATAACTAGTTTTAATTAATGCTACTTCTTGTGCTGTTTACAACCAGGAGTTTTTTGTTGTCTTAGGGACTAAACGCTTGGTCATGATCTTGAATTTATTGCAAGAAATGCGGGAGACGTTCAGAAGGTCGCGCTCGAGTGTATTTAGGTGAAGTGTTGCTCGTGTCTCCCAACCCAGACGAGTACACAGCTTCTGAGTACAGAGGCTGGTTGCTGATGCTCGTGCTATCTGGCAGCCTCGTTTAGCACCAAGCTCCATGCTTTTCTGAAATAAGGTGTAATCAGAATGAGAACCAGTCATAAATAACGCTTCATAAGGTTCCTTCTTGAGTCGTCTGTTATTCATGAACTATATAAATGATCCTGGTGAAGTAATAAAAATCACCATGAGTAAATTCGCTGATGACACAAAAGTTGGCCAACTAATAAATTCAAAGGAAGATATCATTAGTCTTCATAAGGATTTATTCAACTTAATGATGTGTAGCGAAAATTGTAAGATACACTTAAGTGTAGAAAATATCAACGTCGTTATCATTTCGAATGAAAATAGGACTAGGAATTATGAACCAAAAAATACTGAACTTGATTACATAGAATGTGAAAAGGACTGGGGTTATGGCAAGTAGAAATCTGAAGATATGAAAACAGTACCTAAGTGTCATTATTAAGCGAACAGACTACTGAAATGCATATTAGAAGCATTAGTTAAAGCAGTCCAGAGAATATTCTACAGCTTTACACAATAATAAGGCCTCATTTACATTATGCTGCACAATTCTGGTCGCCATCTTAGAGAAAAAATATAAATGTATTGGAGAACATACTGAGGATGACAACATTCACTGTATAAGGAATCTTCCGTAGGAAGATATACTGAGACTCTCCTTTGGACGTATGCTCTCTCTTGAAAACGTACAATGAGTAGAAATACTGAAACAAGCAAAAAGAATATAGGTAAAAGCAAAGTTATATAAATGAGATTTTGAGGATTTCTAACCAAGAAGGAACTCTAAATAAAACATACAAGTTGTATGAGCTCAGATTTTGAAATGCTATAGAAGAGAACTGATTTATACAATGATCAGTCTAGAGGAAAATTGCAATGATATATGTTGTGTAAATGTTCTCATCATGACATCCAACATCTTAATATAGAATCATGGCAACTTTCAATTTTATAAAATATTTATTATCTTTCATGGCCAGTACTGCCCCTATCTTCACTAGTTGGTCACTAGTGATAAATCTGGTCTAGAATCGTTTTAGTTTGAATGTTTAAAAATGTGTTTCTAACTAATTTAGGGACGCTGAATTAAAATTAGAATCTAGTTATGCTTCGACACGTACAGTTTCCGTGAAATAGAAACCCACAGTGACCGATTTCACCAAGACGTAACCATTATGGGGAAGAGATGTCTGGGAATAGTGGCGATGAATTTAATGGCTGAGTACTGCTGGCCCAGTATTGGTGAATGACAGCCATACTGAACATTGAACCACAGTGAAGAAAACGTTAAAACTATGATGTAAATAAGTTTGTATAACTGAATGGAATGTATAATGTAAATATATGGCTGAATGGGTGTATAAAGGTAGAAAGTTGAAAGTGAACATAGACAAGAGTAAGGTATGAGGGTATCAAACTATTTAGATAAAGAAAAATTGGATATTACATAGGAGGGAGGGAGTATGGAAGAAGTGAATGTTTTCAGATATATGGGAGTTGATTTGTCAGCGGATGGGTTTATGAAGGATGAGGCTAACCATAGAACTGAAGTATCTATAGAGACAAAAAACGTTATCCATGGAGGCAAAGAAGGGAATGTACAAGAGCATAGTGGAAACAACACTCTTATATGAGTGTGAAGCTTGGGTTGTAAATGCAGCAGCGAGGAGGCGCCCGGAGGCAGTGAAGATGTCCTGTCTAAGGAAAATGTGTGGAGTAAATATTATGCAGAGAATTCGTATTGTGGAAAGCAAAAGGAGGTGTGGAGTTATTAAAAGTATTAGTCAGAGGGCTGTAGTGGGGCTGTTGAGGTTGTTCAGTCATTTAGAGAGGTTGGAACAAAGTAGAATGACTTCAAGAACGTATAACTCTGCTGCGGAAGGAAGGTGGGGTAGGGGTCGTCCCCAAAAGGGTTAGAGGGAAGGGGTAAAGGAGGTTTTCTGGGCGAGGGGCTTGGACTTCTAGCAAGCGCGTGTGAACTTATTAGATAAGAATGAATGCAGACAAATGGTTTTTGGGACCTGACGAGCTGTTGGAGTGTGAGCAGGGTAATATATTGTGAAGGTATTCAAGGACTTGAGTCCTGGAAAGGGAAGTACAATGCCTGCACTTTAAAGGAGGCGTTTGGGATATTGGTAGTTTAGAGGGACATCTGTTGTATCTGCCAACATATTTTTAGTTGAATCAGGTTGGTTGTCCCTTTCTGGATTTTAAAAAGTATTTTTAGTAATTTTAAAAGATGTATCAATTACATTTCTTAGGTATTTTAGATCATTAGCTATTTCATAAATTTTAAATATTTCCTGATCTATGAACTCTGGAGTACAAATACGTTAAGTTCTCAAAAACATTGATGAGAAAACCGATAATTTAAGTCTGTCTTGATGTGATGAATAATAGTGTTCACAGAAACAGTTTTTTGTAGGTTTTCTATTAATTTTAAATTTAAAATCATTATACCCTTAATAATTAAAGCATCTAGAAAAGACAATGAGTTATTTACTTCAAACTTAACAATAAAATTTATAGAATGGGCTAAGCTATTTATTTTAACAAGGAAATGGTATATATATCTACATCGTTAAGGATAAGACACAAAATATCATCAACACATCTAAACCACTTAGCTCTATTAGGAAGGATTGTGTTAAGCAATCTTGTTTCAAAAAATTCCATGCATAAATTACTAAGAACAGGTGAATGAGGATTTCCCATTGCCATACCGAACTTCTGAGTATAAAACTCATCATTAACGACAAATTTTGCATCAACAATACAAAGTTTAAAAAGTTTAATGATAGTAGCAACTGGCAATGGTAAATCGTAATTAACAAGTTCTTCAGATAAGAAACTTAATAAATCATCAACTGGAACTTTTGTAAACAAGGAAGTAACATCTCTCCTTGGGTCCTGAGAGAGGGAGCAGATGCACTAAGTGTGCCACTTACAATAATCTTCAATAAGTCCACTGAAATTGAGCAACTGCCTGAAATGTAGAAGACAGCGAATGTAGTCCCAATTTTTAAGAAAACAGACAGATAGACAGCACTGAACTACAGACCTGTATTCCTGACATGTATAATATGTAAAATTATGAAGAAAATTATCAGAAAGGAATGGGCTAATATGTGACAACCAGCTTGGCTTCAGGGAAGGGAAATCCTGCATCACAAAGCTACTGAAGTTCTTCGATAAGGTAACAGAAGTAAGACAGGAGAAGGCTTTTGATACAGTACCACACCAGAGACTAGTTGAAAAGCTAGAGGAGCTGGCAAAAATAGCAGGGAGTGTACTGCAGTGATTCAAGGAATAACTTACGGGAAGGAAACATGTGCTGGTACCAGACGAGGTGTCAGAGTGGGTGCAAGTGTCGTGTGGGGTTCCACAAGGGTCAATCCTAGGCCTAACGCTGTTTCTAGTATATGTGAATGACATGAAAGAAGGGATAGATTCAGATGTGTCCCTATTTCCAGATTTTGTGATAAATGGCTCCTTGAGTTTAACTCCAGCAAATGAAAAGTCATGAAGTTTGGGGAAAGACAAAGAAGGTGGTCAAAGGATGCAAAACTCGCTCAAAAAAAAGTATCTTGGGGTGAGCATCATACCGAGCACATCTCCTGAGACGCACATCAACAAAGTAACTGCTGCAGCATATGAGTGTCTGGTAAACCTGAAAACAGCATTTCGACATCAAAGTAAGGAGTCATTCAAGGCACTGTACATCGTGTACGTCAGGCCCATATTAGAATATGCAGCACTAGTATGGGATCCACATCTAGTCAAACACATCAAGAAATTAGAGAAAGTGCAAAGGTTTGCAACAAGACAAGTCCCGGAACTGAGGGGTTTGTCCTACGAGGAAAGGTTAAGGAAACTGAACCTGACAACGCTGGAAGACAGGAGAGATAGGGGAGGACATAATAACAACATATAAAATACCGAGAGCGAATTGACAAAGTGGATAGGGACAGAATGTTTCAGAGATGTGATACAGCAACAATGGGTCACAACTGGAAGTTGAAAACTCAGATTAGTCACAGGGACATTAGTAAGTATTTCTTCAGCCATAGATTTGTCAAGCAGTGAACAATCTGGAGAATGATGTAGTGGAAGCAGGATAAATACATAGCCTTAAGAAGAGGCATGATAAAGCTCATTAAGCAGGGAAAGAGTGGTTCTAGTAGTGATAAGTGACGAGGCAGAGCCAGGAGCTATGACTCGAGCGTATAATTACAGTTAGGCGAGTACAGCTGAGTACGCACACACAGAAAGATCTTATGATAAACGAAGAGGTGGGGCCAGGTGCTGTGAATCAACTACTGCAACTACTAATAGATGAGTAAAGACATACATACATTAATAACCACATATAGATACACAGACAGACAAACATAAACACACAGACTCACACACCTGAGGAGGAGGTGAAGAAGCTGCTAAGGGACCTTGATACCTCAAAGGCAATGGGACCAGACAACATCTCCCCGTGGGTCCTTAGAGAGGGAGCAGAAATGCTGTGTGTGCCACTAACCACAATCTTCAACACATCCCTTGAAACTGGGCAACTACCTGAGGTATGGAAGACGGCAAATGTAGTACCCATATTTAAAAAAGGAGACAGAATAGAGGCACTAAACTATAGACCAGTGTCACTGACGTGCATAGTATGCAAAGTAATGGAGAAGATTATCAGGAGGAGAGTGGTGGAGCACCTGGAACAGAACAAGAGTATAAACGCCAACCAGCACGGATTTATGAAAGGCAAATCCTGTGTCACAAACCTACTGGAGTTTTATGATAAAGTAAAAGAAGTAAGACATGTGAGAAAGGGGTGGGTTGATTGCATCTTCTTGGACTGCAAGAAGGCCTTTGACACAGTTCCTCACAGGAGATTGGTGCAGAAGCTACAGAATCGGGCATGTATAACAGGAAGGGCTGTGCAATGGATCAGAGAATGCCTGACAGGGAGGTAACAACGAGTCATGGTATGTGATGAGGTATCCCAGTGGGCACCTGTGACGAGCGGGGTCACACAG